GAATGGCGTGAGCCGTTTCAACATTCACCGCGACTATGGTAACAAGGAGCGTCTTCCCAGCTCACACACATGCTTCAACCGTAGGTCAACTCCAGGTTAACTGTATCACGTCGACAATGTGGCTAATTGAGTTATAGAACTTGATCTTCCTGAGTACGAGAGTTATGAGACACTCCGTTCTCAGCTCATGAAAGCTATCACAGCTGGCAGCGATTACTTTGGCTTCGCCTAAACTGTTAGGCAAGCATATTTGACTTCGGCGAGCCGAGGAGAAGGCATAGAAAGCATTGCATGGTTTGCGGATCAGGACTGAATTACAGGTTCACGGCAAGACATATGGGTTGATTCGCGTGCGACTGAGAGTTCTCTCGGTTGCAGCCTCCATTTCCTCACGTACAGCTCGATGAGACAGATGGGTTTCTTGACCGCGTTGGTTTTTCCCCTCCATTATGAACCGTATTGGATCCCCGGCAAGGTTCGTCAGTGTGAACTGGTCACAGCGGAGTGCAGGCTGCTTGGGCCTTTGCCTCACACTGTAACGGCCATGTGGGCAGGAACACGCGGTACTGTAGAGTAGTAACAATGATATGGTGTTTTTTTCACAGGATTCCCATGTGTATAAATGTGCAACACCATGTACCCAAAGATCTCCAGCAGTCCTGCGAAATGATGCAGATGGACGGACACTTCACAATCACAATGTCTGCCTCTGCGATACCGGTCAATCATTGTGATGCATCGAAGCAGCGTTCCATACACGTGATGCACGTCTTCGAATCACAGTTTGAGTTGGCATAGATACTTCTTGTAAACTCTCAATGAACAGAACATGAACAAGGTCAGAGATGATCATGTCTTCGTCATTATGCTACCTACCAGCTAATAAAATGGGCCCTGCCAACGTGTCACAACAGCACGGCATGAGTAGACTGCTCGCTTGCCTGCCCTGGTACACCAGCCTGGTGCCTGTCCTGACTGGAGAAGCGCTTGGACGACACGCACTAAACAGGGGTTCACAAGGGCTGCCCAGCGTGAAAGAATCATGGGTATTATGCGTCAATGATGCGTTGTTCCATTGTCCCGAATGCCAATCTAGTACATTCGTGTGCCGTTTCGATGATGAACTGCCAATGAGCCACGCCAGGCTTTGTTTCCCCCTTACCACGCCGGATGCAAGAAAAATCAGAAGACCGGAGCATCTCTTTTTCGTTTTCCCAACGCCATAACTTACTTGCGCATGGAGGAAGCGCGGCGCTTGCGAGCGTCGGCCTTCTCGGCCTTCTTCTCGGCGACACGCTTGGCGAGGATCTGAGCGTACTCGTTCTGTACAAGAGGGCCATGGTCAACATGTGTGGGCGAAAGGGAGGAATTTCATGGTAGTACGTACGGCCTCGTCCTTGACCTTCTCGGACTGGCGGCGCTTGAGCGCAAGGCGGTGGCGCTTGTGCTGGAGGCGCTGGGGGGTGACCAGGCGCTGGATCCTGGGGGCCTTGGTGTAGGCCTTCTTGCCCTCGCCCTTGGGCTGGACCTCGCGGCGGATGACGTACTTGCGGACCTAATCACGGGGAAAGAATCACAGGTTAGCAACCGACATTCTACTCGGTCTTTGTCTCGATGTGTGTATAGCCCAGCACGCGGGGATTCTGCTTCTCGTCCGTCTTCCATGGGGAAGGGAACAGAAAGGCCACCCGCGGCCTTCTCTTTCTCACACTCTACCCAGCCTGCGTGAGCAGGACCGGCCAGGCGATGACGAGGTG